ATATTTAATGTGTATAACTTTGTAGCACTAACATGTTGATTTAACTATTTTATCTGTTCTTATTAATGCTTTGCTATTCTTTTATAGTCACATCAGCTTTAATTTTTAAGATTCTATATAATCATTTTTTAGGGCACCCATATCGAGATGTCTATTGGAATTATTTTGGGGATTTCTACTATGGCAGGTATTTAATAATAGTCAATGTTATTATTCCATTGTCTGTATATTTATGAAACATTTCAGGAGGGTAGGTTTAGAAAAAGATAGATTATTTGAATGAGTTTATTCACTGAATTGTCTATGAGTTTATCTCCTTAATCCTATTCTTCTGATTCTTAGTGTGTGTAGCACTTTCTTTTTCTGAGAAATTTTAGGTATTTTATATTACTTAATGAGTAACAATACTCTGCTATATTGACTATGTTAAAACAAGTTTTTCTGGTAATTCAGTGTTACCCTCAAACCTTTCTACCCCTTGTCTCTATTAAATTAATTTCCCAGTTGGGTAGAAAAAAATCAAAGAAGGAAATAGGAGATTAAAAAGCTATCTTTCTCTCCCCCATTTACCACTCACTCTGTCTTCATCAAGGTAAAATTTGGGGATTTTTTTTGTTGTGTTTATTGTATTCAAAGCATGAGCTAGATGGGTTAATGAAATAAATATTTCTTCTTGATTTCCTCAAATTTCAGAGCATATGGCTCTACTCATTAACTTCTAAATATCCTTAAATATTATATGAAAGATACAACTACAAAATATTGTACAGGTGTACAAAATGGAAATTGGCTGCTATAACTGAAAAAAACCCACTATTTCATGGGGGTAGAATATTGTAATTTCAGAATCATGTTCTATTTTGAAATCTCGAAATTAAAAGTTATCCAGTGAGTTACTTTGGATATAGTTGTTATAGTTTGCAAAATGTGAGAACTATTTCAGACCAGTGCTTTATTGATTACATAGTGATATATTAGAATGATTTTTCTGACTTATGTAACAATCCATATGCCTATTTTTCAAATTTTTAGCTGCTGCTTTGGGAAATCTTGTGTCAGATTTAGCTGGACTTGGGTAGGTTCATTTATTTATCCACTTACTCTCTTTCTTTTCTCCATTTTTCTTTAATTGGGAAACATAAAAAAGGGACACTTATTTTTCTTTGTGTTCTGGAATTAATTTTTAATTTTATTATTTCTAAAACAATAATACTAAATCTTTGGTGTGCATCAAATGTAAATGCCTGGGTTGTACCCCAGTCATACAGAATTAGTGTCTCTGGTGAGGGAGGGGGCCCTGGCATTTGTGTTTAATAATTTTTACAAGTGATTCTGATAGATACAAAAATTTATTCTAAAACTGCTATAATGTAAGCAAATGGAATTTAAATTTTCTCAAGGACTTATATACATTTTGTAGACATCTCCAGGGGTAAGACAGGATTAAAAGCAAGAACGCTTGTCATTGTTTTACCTCACCATCCTTCCAGGAAGCCCAAAGATAAGGAATATGGCTCAAATATGAGGATACTGACTAAGCATGTTTTCTGAGAGTGGAACTTTCAAAAGAAATAAAGGCCGAAGTGTATATGGGTTTGCTGTCTTTTTTTCATGTGACAAGAATGATGAAACAAGCTGAGGATGTCCACTTAGAAAAGGCCAGCTCTTTCTCTCTTTTTCTCTTTACATTTTCTCTTCCAAGTGGCAGATGGCCTGGGCTGCTTCCTGAGCTTGAGGAAGGCTGGGGAATATAAATTAGACTAAGCTGACATTAATCATTACCATAAACATGCTCTTTCTTGCTCCGTCTTTGATTTTGTTTCTTCCTTCCATGGCTCATTTGAGTGGTAGGTTTTGAGATTTGGGTTTGTGTTTATTAGCCCTGTGGTATAGGCAAAGGCAGCTTTATAAGTGATCTAACCTATATTAGACTTCTGCACTGGAGTTTGAGGCCAAAGCCACTGTTAAAAACAAAGTTTCTGGGTTTTAGGATCATGGCAGGAATTTCATATTCTTAGAAATCCTGTCATAAATCTATCATGATATCACCTCTTAAATGTTCCTCTTCCTGGTTTCCAACACTAAGGTAATTAATAATAATATAGGTACTGTATAGCTTTCTGTTATGTTTAGTAGAACCAAATGATCTAATAGAATTTAAAGCCATTTAGTTTTAGATTGCATCATAAAACATTTATTTTTGATTAGAGATGAAGACTTTGCTGGGAGTCATTATATTTAAGAACTATTTCTCCTCTGCCCTTTTTTTTAGTATCATTAAATAACAAGTACCACATTTTATGAATTCTTAGATATACATTTTTAATGCATTCTTAATATATCTGATAGTGGAGCTATAGTTGATAGTATATACATAGTGTAATTGGCAAATTTTTTTTTCTTACAGTTCATAAAGTAAGATTGTATCCAATAAGTGATGGCAACTTAGAATTATTAAAATACTTGAGATAGGCCTGAAAATTCTTGGCCATTTTTCTTAGTTTACCAGTCTGATGAATTTTGGAAACTTTTGCTTTCTGGTAACAGTTATTAATTTATATTGTATGTTAAAATGCTTTGTTCTAGATTTGGAATAAGTGCAGAAATTGTAATACTTTGTTAAAATGTTTTATATATCTTGAATTATTCTTTTTAAAGTAATAATAGAATAATTGCTCTAAGTCAATTTGTCTTTTTAAATATGTTAATATGAAAATATTTTTAAATGACATATTTATACACAATAAAAATTAAAAGTTTAAAAATGTTTACATGTTGCTAGAGTACTAATAAGTACAGGTATAAAATTATTTTGTTTCTCTCTGTAATAATTAGTTTTTTACTATCTGAGGACATTTGTATGGTCTTTTTAAAAACTTCTATTCTGTCCTCTTGTTTTTTTAAAGACTTGCAGGGTATGTTGAAGCTTTGGCTTCCAGGTTAGGCCTGTCAATTCCTGATCTCACACCAAAGCAAGTTGATATGTGGCAAACACGTGTTAGTACACATTTGGTAAGTAATTTATATGGTTTATGATAATGAATTTGGGTAGCCAGAGCAGGACACTGTATAGTTCAAGTCCTTGAGAAAGTTGAGGCTAAAGTTGATTTGAATGGAGTTATTAACAAAAATTGTCTAGGCCTTTGCAATTTTCAGAACAGTAATTTGTTCATTGACTCTTTATTTTTTGTAGGTATGCTTGATTTTTAAAAAAATCTTTATACAATTCATTTAATATTAAGAAGTATCTGTTATGTGTTAGAGACTGAAGGACATAAAATGAATAATCAATTATAGTTATTCTTGAGGAACTTGTTTAGGTGGAGAACCAGACATGTAAACAAATTATAATTTAATATGACATATGCAGTAATAGAATTATGTGCAAGATATAACAATGGTACAAGTCATTACATTGTACAAGTTGTACAAGGGAATTAATACTTTGGGGGGAGAAATTTCTTATGGTGGGGGATTTCTTGGTGATTATTGGATCTAATCTGATTTTTGAGTTATTGATGAGACATTCACTAGATGAATGAGGAAATTCTAACTAGCGAGCGGAGAAGTAAGCATGGATTAGACAGGAGAGGCATTGTGTGTGTTATGCTAAGGAGCTTGAGCCTCATATCTAAGTAGTGGGGAGCCAATGAAGAGTTTTAAATAGGAAGGAAATTTGATGGATTATGATACTACTAATTATTAAGTCAAGACAAAAAATGGGAAGAACAAGTTTATACGGGAAGATGATGAGTTCTGCTTTAGACACATTGAATTTGAGAGGCTAGTAGGACATTCAAGTGGTGACACGAAGTAGGCATTTGGATTGAAGGTCAAGAGTTAGAGAGGTCTTAATTAGAGATGATGGGTATTGTTATTCATTCATTCAACAAATATTTATTGTTTACCTACTCTATGTAGATCTAAGAGTTTTGAATACACTGATTAATAAAACAAGATATTTTTTCTGGTGGAGCTTATATTCCAGCAGCAGCAAGATAGACAATAAACAAATCTGATAAGTAAAAATATTTATTATATTAGAAGTTCATAAATGTTATGGAAATAAAAAGAGAAAGCAGAGGTAAAAAAGGTTGAGAGTGCTAGAATGGAGGCAGACTAAAGTTTTAAATAGGAGGGTCACTGTAGGCCTCACTGTAAAGGTAGGTAATAGTTAAAACCATGGGAGAAGATGAGATTGTATAGGGCAGTGGTTTTCCAAATGTAGTGCCAGGACAAGCAGGATAAACACTACCTGGGAACGTATTAGAAATGCAAATTCTCTTAGACCTACCAATTATTGTATAAAAAATTACATAGCAGCTTAAAACAACACAAATTTATTTTATCTCATTTTTTGTGGGTCAGGAGACCAGGCGCATAGCCTAGATGGGTCCTCTGGAAGGCTGCAAGCAGTGTCTAACAAGGACTTGGTTCTTGTCTGGAGGCTTAGCTAGTGATGGATCTGTTTCCAGGCTCACTCAGGTTTTTGGCAAATTAATTTCCTTGTGGCTGTGAGGGACCCAGCTTCTGGCTTGCTGTTGGCCAGAGGCCGCTCTCATCTCCTAGAGGCCTCCCTCACTACCTAGAGCTCACTTCCAGTTCCTTGCCAGTGGTCCTCTCATTAGGCCCTCACAGCATGGCAGTTTGTTTCTTCAGAGCCAGCAAAGGCGAAAGAGGAGAAGTCTGCTGGCAAGATGGAGTCTTTAGGTAACGTAATATAATCACAGAGCAATATCCCATCACGTTTCCTATTGTTAGAAGCAAGTTAGAGCTTCCTACTCACACTTAAGGGGAAGAGATTATGCAAAGGTTTAAATACCAGGAGGAAGGGGTCACGGGGGCACCTTAAAAATCTGTCTGCCGCAGGTGTATAGAATCAGAAATGCTGGAGATGGGGCCTACAATTCGTGTTTTAAATCTGCTCCACTCTAAAACTTGAGAACTATTGTTCCAGAGGGAATGTGCAGAATTAAAGAACCCTAGAGAATACCTAAGAGCTCATGGTCTTATGGAAGCTTGCAAGGAAAAAGTTTTAAGAACCAATGAATGATAATCAATTTCTCTTGGTATAAAGACATCAAGTAAAGTTTCTGAGAAATTTATTTTGGATTTGGTATATAGTTGCTCATTGGTGGTTATTGGTTATTGGTGGTTATTTCTGAGCAATTTTCATGGACTTCACAGGAGAGGAAAAATCAAATGGCAATGGATTGAACCATTAATGGGAGATGAAGAAGAAGAGTAAAATATAAAATTAATGTATTTAAATTCAGTTAGACTGAATTTGTTTTAGTGAAGATATTGAAATGAATTTCTTTGTTGGAAGTAAATAGAAATGAACAATATCCATATAGAATATAGAAATATGCCCATGGGTAAGACGGAATTAAATTCATTACTCATCACTTTAAATGTCTAACACAGCATTTAAACTAAGGACAGATGTTCCTAAACAGAGCATTTGGGATTTTATGCTATGATATTCTGTACTTTATTTTAATCACTTATATTAAACAATATTAAAGTTCTTTGTTTTAGATACTATTTATAGTTTTGAGACTCTGTAGTTGCTTTTGAGTTGCCAATGGGTGGTAGTTAGTAATTACTTTTCTTAAAGGAGAATATTTGGATTATTTTTTTGTATCGGAAATCTCTAATAATTACTGCCCTTTAAAATATGAGTAATAGAAGGATCACTACCATATTAGGGAAGTGTTTAGTTTTCAATTGAAACATAGGAAGAATGTGTACAAACAAAATGAGGACCTATTTGCTTATTTTGATTATATTTGGAAAAGAGTTTATTATAACGTGTGGCAGTTGGAGGTGGAATGATGTAGAAAACAAAGGTATGTTTACATAATGATTATATCTACATATAATGAGGTATACACAGGGATAAATATTGAAAAGCAATATGCATGAAGGATGGCAAATCTAAATATATTAAGAGTAGTTGGTAAGATTTTTTTCCTGCCTTCCTATTTTCTGGCATTAAAATATATGTACAATTTTTTTAAAGTTTTTTTCTATTTGAATATTTCTCTGATGTTATTTTTATAGCAAAAATTTTCTGGTTCTTTGAACTTCAAATATTATCCATTTTATAACATTTTGTTAGCATATTTTTATATTTAAGTTATTATGATCAAAAGAAATGCAGTCACAGTTGAATTTTATAATATATAGTAATTGTCTATTATTGTAGATACTTAAGCAAGGATACCTCTTTCAGAGATAAAGTAACTTTGAAAAAATGTTCTCTTTTGTTTCCTTAGGGCAAAGCTGTTGGGGTGACTATTGGCTGCATTCTAGGAATGTTTCCTTTGATTTTCTTGGGAGGAGGTGAAGAAGATGAAAAACTGGAAAAGAAAAATTAATCTTAGAATACCTATAAAAAGATGTAAACTAATGTACCTCAGTTATTAAAATATGCTGTCACAACATTTAGGAATTAAGACAGTAACAGTGTATAGATATGGGATCAAATAATTCAGCATGTATTATGGAAAACACTAACTTATTGTGGCTTGATCTTCTTAGGACACCTTTTTTAAACAAATGTCTAGTATCATTTGTGTGTAAATTGTTGAAATGCTTTTTCATCAATGGCAGTCAACATTTTATTTTTTTCTTTCTCTTTATATATCAATATTATTTAAGTATTGGTCATTGATGTACTGTATTGACTTGGGGTTTGTTTATTTGTTACTTAATATGTGTACATGCATGAAAGCATTTTTTTGTTGTTGTTCCCTGATGATTACAATTCAACCTTGGGATTTTTCCAAATTCCTTAAGATGTTTAATATCAGTTATAGATTTTTTTATGCCCTTTTTGACAACATCAATTTTGTACTGTTTCACAGTAAACATTTACAATCTCATAATTTCGGTCATTTTCTTAATTCTCACATCTATTCAAAATGGATGCAGATGCAGATTTTAAGTGTTTTAAGTATTCATTACTCGATTTTCTGACCTTACTGTCTTAAGAACCAGAGGTTAATCAGAAAGAACAATTATGTGGTCTCCCTACTACATAAAACCATACATAACAAGTGTACTTATTTCTAGTTGGTTTTTTTTACCTTTAATTTCCCAGTTTTGAATACTTACATGGTTGGTTCTGACTCCTGAGGGGAAGATGATTATTTTAGAATCTTTTAAATGGGGATTGTAGAATTATGGTGAACTAAGGGATTTGACATTACACTTAGAAATTAAGAGGCTAAAACTTTTTTGTTTTAGAAAAGTAGAGAATGGGAACTGTTAAGGTTTATGGTGTAAGTGGTGAAATTGAAGTGATGTAGGTTAATGAAATACAAATTATAGTGTTTGAGAAGGATTTTTTTTTCCTCCAGAGGGTCATCTTCACATCTGAAAACATCTGAATGGAATGAGTCTGAATATTCTGTACTTATAATCCTAATCTCTTTATATTTTTAGTGAATTTTATTTCTGAATAATTTCTTTTGAAGGGAAAATATGTAATATTTTGCTTTTTTGCTACATAGTCTAAAGTTACATGAAGGGAAATCTTTTCTTTTGTGATCTTTTTTCTTCTTTTGTGGTGTTTAAAGCATATTCTAGGTTGAAGTTACTTATTTCTAGTCTTGTATGTCTGACTTAAATATAACCATATATGGATCATAAATTTTGGTTTTCTGAACCCTTAAAGTTTTTAGTGTGTGGTCTGTTACACTTGCTAAAAAATTACCCTTACTTGTAACAGAGTAATAAAACACATCTTCAAGGAGAGATACTGAAATTAAAATTAAATAATATTTTGGCTATTTGAAATTATTTATATTGCTAAATATATGCAAAAGAAGACAAGCTTATAGGATGGCTGTATGTACAATAATTTTATTTTGAAGTTTTATTTGCACATAAGTACTTTGTGTTCTTATTTTCAGAGATCTTTTTTTCCACAAAGCAGTTTGTTATAATTTCTCTCTTAAGCACTTCATAATGATTAAGTGCTAACCTTTAATCATAGATTTTGAGGGAAAAAAGAAAATACATTCTACAATATAAAAATAAATATATAGCAATCTTAACTATACACAAATAATATAACATTCTTGTTGGATTAAATCAGAATTATATAACTTGAGATCTCAAGCAGAATTGTGGTTTGTATCTTCCATATAATACCACACACAGACACCAAACACACACAGACACCAAAATGATTTTTGTTTAAATTTCAGATTGATAGGATTAGAGTGCTTTTCTTTTCTTTTCTTTTTTTTTTTTTGGCAAATTTATAAGTGCTTTTGTCCCTAGCTTGTATGTTGATGGTAGTCCTTTCTCTTTTCTAAAAAGGTATTTTATTGTGGTGCTTAACTTTTCTTACTAATTAAATCCCATATCAGAAACCTTGCCTGTGAGTTTAGAAAGGGCTTTTGATGATTGTTTTTCTGTTTTTACTCTTGAAAATAATCCAGTCCTAGGGAGTTATCAGTTTAATTGAACATCTGCAGAATTATTTTTAAGGTGTCAAAACATGGAATATATAACCTTCACATTGAAAGGTATTTTAATTTATGGACACAATAAAAATTTGAATCATTCAGATAATTAATTTTCAAAATGGAGCTTGTTTGTGCTTAACCGAAGGTATACATTTTTTCAACATCTTGTTCTACACTAGTGTGGGCCTTTGCAAAAAGTGATTTCTGAAGAATGGTTCCCTTTAAGATAAAGACTTCATATGATCATTGTTTCATATTACTTGCCTCCAAGAACTTTATTTCAGGTTAAAACTGGAACTGTTTGTTCTCATATTAGCTATTTCTCTATTAGGAGCACAAGAACTATAGTTAAATGCAACATGAACTACTTTAATACTGTTTGTTTGAAATTTGTGTTGTCCATGTATTATGATTTATTGACTTGTTGATGCATGTAAATTGGGTGCATTTTGTTGCCACTGTATGTTAAATGGTGACCAATGTTTTTACAAGGAATTGAACAAAAAAATATCTTTTAAGAAATTTGGAATGTGTTTTTGATTTTGAAATTTAATTTTCTTACAGAGGGCCTTGGTTATTCTGTTACTAAAGGAAATAGGATTAATAAATGCAGATTTGTTACAAAGTGGTAGCAATGTCACTGAGACAGTAAATGGAGCTATTTATCACCTCCCTGAATCCACACTTGAGATAACAGCATTACAGAGTATGAGAGAAAAGTGATCTCACAGAAAAGCCTTAGAGAGATTGGCATAAATCACACGGATAGGTATTTACAGCAGAGATATCCAAGCCATTTATAAATAATGCCTCATTTACTTTACTCTTTTTCTCTAGAAGGTAAATTTTGAAGGTAATGGAAATTTATCTTTTATACCAAAAGTTCGTATAAGCCATTTTGAAGTGAATCTTCCTAATTTTAGAATTATATTTTTCTTGCCATCTTAAAATAGTACACTAAATGTAATATAACCCTTTTCTTAGTGGCTAAGCATCATCTTTATGGACATTATTATTGTGCTATAATGCAGTACCTTGGGAATCTGGTTTTTACAGTTTTTCATTTTCCTTCCTTTTTTTTTTTTTTTTTTTTGCTGCTCTTGCTTCTGGCAACTGTTTTAGCTCTCTAATCTGCTTTCTCAGTTGTATGGACTTAGAAACTAGGTGGTCAGTCTTACCATAAATTGTTTGGGAAATATTAGAAAATAGGTCATGGAGCCTGAGTGAGATGATTTATGATGATGATAGTAGTAATAATAATGATAGTAGTATCTCCCTTTTATTGAATACTTATTTGTTGCTATAGTATTTTACACACATTATCACATTTAATCACCTAAATAACAACATTAAGTTGGTGCTATTATTATCCTTAATTTATAGTGGGTGAATTGAGGTATGGAGAGGTTAGTTTGCCCATGATGTCACTGATAAGTGGACTGGAATCCAGGTTTGTGTGTAAAGCCAGTTTTCTTAACTACTATGCAATAGGGACATTAGTTGCATGGACTTTGTAACATCTGTTCTTCTTAGGTTCCTTTTTACCTCCAAGTTTATGGAGTCATTTTTACATCTATAATGTAAGCGAATTGTACTTATCATCTCAAGATTCATGTAACAAATTCTGTGGTTTTGATTGTATATTATGTGCTAGGAACTGTTCAAGGCACTGAGTGAACAACTAGAACATCCCTACCTTCATGAAGCTTATTCTGTTGGGGGCGTTGGTGGGAGAAAAGCAAATAAGCACTTAAATATTTTTTATATCAGATGGTTCGATAGAGATAAATGAAACAAGATGAGGTTCATAGAAAGTACCGGTGGTCATAAGGAGGGATGGTCATGGAAGACCTGAAAGAAGTGAGAGCATAAACAATAAGATATCCATGAAGAGAAAGTATTATGCTATATTCTAGAAACTTGGTGTTAAGAAAATCACAGACATATGAAATGTATTTCACTTTGCAATGCATTACAAAATGTTTTCTTATTTGTTTCATGTTATTGTTTTCTGGATTAAGCCTAAAGGTTAATACTTAAATGTTAAGATTAATACTTAACTCTTTGCATATTTACTGACAGCAGTAGGAGGAAATAGTCCAGAAGCATAGGGGAGAAACCCTGAAATTCAAAAAGTCTGTGGATAATTTATTAGCAAATAATTTACATTTGACCCTTGAACAACACGGGGGTTAAGAACATCAACCCCCTTGCAGTCAGTCAAAAAGCCACATTTGTAGTTGGACTCCCCCCAAACTTAACTATTAACAGCCTACTGTTGACCAGAAACCTTTCTGATAACATGAACAATCAATTAACACATATATTATATGTGTTACATGCTGTATTCTTGCAATAAAGTAAAGTGGCACTGGTTTGGAAGCACTCATCTCCATCAAGTCATCTTCTTTTAATTCCTCTGGTGTGGTGTCTATTAGCTCTTGAATTTCTTCAAGATCCGTAACTTGAAACCCTTCACCTCCTACCTTTTTTTTTTGTCATATCTGCAATCTCTTTTATTATTTCCTTGATTGGCTCTGTCGTAAATTCTGTAAAGTCATGCACAAGAACTGGACACAGTTTCCTTCAGCAGGAATTTATTGTTTCAGACTTGATAGCTTTCACAGCTGTTTCTATAACAACCAATGACATTTTCATTGATGTAGTCCTTTGAGATTTTATAATGTTCTATTAGAGTTTTCTTCCATATTGTTGACAATCCTTTCCATAGAATACTGGCTGTACTGAGCCTTGGAGGTTCTTGTGACCCTTTGATGTAGAGGCTGAATTAGAGACTATGTATGGGGGCAAGTCAACCACTTCAGTGCCTACTGCCAGTTCTCTAGGCTATTGTTTTGTAACAGTTAATCAAAAGTTAAAGGGAAATACAATATTTATATACAGTCCCTGTTCTACTGATTATCAAGGAAACAAATATTCCTCAGTTTGACGTGACTTATTGTTAGTGAACTTGTGTTGGGAGCTAATGGTTACCACTTTACTTTCTATTTAATTTGTTTTTACTTCTTCCCCTAAGGATTAATGTCAAATATGTTGCTCTACAGTTTTTATCTGTCCTTTTTTCTTAACATGGCATTATTTACCCAACTCTGGGCTTAATAGTACTTTTACTGTTCTCCCTGTGAGTCACAAACAGAACAGCTTTGTGATTATATCTCAAATTCTTTCAATATTATAACCCAAACATTTTAAAAGTTTTTGGCTTCAATACCCCTTTACACTCTGAAAAAATATTGAGGTCCCCAAAGAGCTCTCGTTTATGGGAGTTATATAAATATTCAATATCTTAAAAAATGAAAACTGACAAAATACAAAAATATTTACTGATCTATTTTAAAACAACAATAAACCAATTTCATGCTAACAATACATATTTTATGAA